AATGGGGCGGTGCAAACTTTCCATTCCAACATTGCGGGAAAATACTGGTTCAAATAAACAACATTTATGCAAGTTGTATGGCTGGAGATTTGATCCTGCATGTAAAAGATCTGCTGCAGATGCTGCACCCTTCGAGTCCTAGGAAGTATTTGCTGATCTAGCATATTGTCCTACTTCTGAGCATTCAATCCAGATTCGATGAAAAAAGGTGCAATGACATGATGTCCTAGACGCCCCAATCATACACTGACAGTTGCACGCCATTGATAACGATGGTCATCGACCACGTGAGGATTGTGTATTGCTCAAATTTGATCGTTCTGACGATTATAACTTCCCTTAAGACCAAATGAACATTCGTCAGTAAAACAAATGTTCCTCAAAAACTCTCCATCAGCCTAGATTCTCTCAAGCGTTCCTTCGTAAAACTCTATATGTGAGAAGTAGTCCTCAGGCTTCAATTTTTTGTCATGATGCTTTTTGAAACTCTTCTATCCCATCTGTTTAAGATCCCTAGAAGACGTCGTGCCCCGTGATAAGAATCAGAGCCAGTGAATTGTTTCTACCACGGATCATACAAGAGCTTGACATAATCTGATTGGTGCCAATGACACGGCATCCCTTACGACAGTTACTAATTAGTAAAAGTTCTTAAATGCATAATTCAAATTGTGGCGCCAAACATGCACCTGTTAACACCACCTGATTTTATGTAATTTTTATTATCTTTGAAAATAAATGTAACTATGTTTTGTGAAATATTATTTTTATTTTTGTTGTTGTTAACACAATGAACAAATAAAACAGTAATACAAAAGTTTCTGAATCCCAAAACACATTCGTAATACAGAAAAATATTTTAAAATGTTGATGAGTGAATGTTCTAGATTTCTCTCTCAAAAATTTCTTGTAACGAACATGTTTCCATGCGGTAAAAATTCCATCCCTGTTTAACGAATGTAAAATTGACTTCCAATCTTTGGTGATTCAAAAAAAAGTGTGAAATTTATCCAAATTACCTACTAATTAAATTAACCGTTGAACAACAAGCATGCCCTCGCTTTTTCATCTAATCGCAGCTGCTCGAAGTCTTCATCTCGGGCTTTTTGGATACGGCCTGAGTGTAGTTCGAGATGACTCGTTTGGAGGGGTCCCGTACTATGACGAATGAATGGATCAATTTGTGCATTTATTCCGTTTAATTTGTCCTACAATAATCATCACACCGGATAAAATAAATCAGTTTGAGTTGTTCGTTGATTTCTGAGAATAATTTCTAATTTCACTTTGACATTTGGATTTTGCATGGCTAATCTGAACACGCGATCGCCGAACTTCAACAGTGCGACGGAACATTTCGCGACAACTCGGATCGGGCGCGAATTTCAAAATACGATTTTTAAAACCTTTTTACAGTAAATGAGCGCGATGCAACGATTTGAAAAAAATACTGGCCGATAGCCCTCTTCGACCTCCACAAAGGCATCGCTCAGTAATAGCTTTAAAGTGATCTGGGGAGATATTATAAAATAAAAACCAACTTGCCATGTTAATTCCCTATATCCAGACTTGGATGCGGCACCCTGTAGACGTTGCATGCCGCACTTTGTAAATTTCGAAACTGTACTTTAAAAATAGACACGGTATTTTGTGAATTATGAATGCAATCCTTTGGATATCCTAATGCTATACTTTATGAATGCTGAATGCCGTGATTTGATGGATATTTTTAACATAAATTAAAAGAAAAATCGGGCATTTTTTAAAAAATATTCTTGTGTTCACAGCACTCACGCAAAATATTTTCAATAACAATAAATTAGAAATTCGCGAAAACGCCTTAATTTTACACCAAAACGACACGTCGAAGTTGTCGCAATCAGATGAATCAAATTTTGGCCAGGAACTTGCACATTTTCGCCCTTAATTTAACAATATTTAGACAAACTGAATTGTTTTTAATATCTTCATGTTTGTAGGAAAACGGTTTCCGGTTTAATTATGATATATTAATACTTATCATATTTAAACAGTATAAATAATGTTAATTATGTTCAAATATTATTATTATTATTATTATTTTTATTGAAAAATTCCCAACGGGGTAAACCCAATTACAGGGAAAAAAAAAACAAAAAAAACAAAAAGCAAAAACACAAGAGGTCATCACGTGCCATATATTGTTACTATTTTCTTAGCAATAATTGAGATGTTGTCAGTAAGATCACAATAATGAAGTATCCTATTACAAGCTTTGCAATTAGATACAACTGGAGATTTAACAAGGGTGTTACTATAACATGGAGGACAGTAAAATACATTGTGTTGACGCGAGTTGTATTTAGGTATCAAGAAATTTAACTTGACCAGTAACCACATAAATATAATCGATTTTGTAATTAATTAGATGTATAATGAATCGTACTCCAAATATAATTCTTCTTGTTTGCAAAGAATTAATATAAAATTTGTTCAGAAGTTGAGTATGATTAAAACCTCTTGGGGGATAAACTCCATCTTCACAAAATGAGAGGAACTTTAGAAATGAACGTTGAGCAGATTCAATATGCATAATATGGACCTGATAGACTGGGTTCCAAATAAGCGAACCATACTCTAAATGAGATCTAACCAGTGCAAAGAATAAAGTTTTCAGTGTCTGAATCTTAGTAAAATCCTTACCATTTCTATAAATAAACCCATAAGTTTGCTGCGCTTTGGCCACAATATTATTAATGTGTGCAACAAAGATGAACTTTGCATACAATAAAATTCCAAGGTCAGTTACAGTATCGTTTCGTTTTAAATTAGTATTATTGATATTATATTGGAAGTAAATAGGTGTGTGCTTACGAGAGTACGATATAACTACACATTTTAGAAGATTTAAAAACAGACGATTTCTTTGGCACCATTGAAAAATATTGTTTACTGTGTCATGATAATTTATAGTTTTTTTATATTTGTCGAATATACGAATCGCGGACCTCAATCATTTATAACACAATTAGTACGGAGTTCGTTTTCTGGCATTTCTGAAAAAATATCCACTTTCCATTATGTTAACAGCACTAACGCAAAAGATTTTCGCTAATATTTATAAACAATAAATTAGAAATTCGCGAAAACGCATTAATTTTACGCCAAAACGACAAGCCGAAGTTGTCGCTATCAGATCGAAATGAAAACTGAACACAAAAGACCGAAAAACTTGACCTTTGCTCAGATAGCTCACCTGACAGTGACGTCATCGTACGTCACGATGAGATTGCAAAAATTATTTTTCATATTTTAACCCGGAAATTGCACATTTTTGATTTAATTTAACAAAATTCATACATTTTGAATTGCTTGTAATTACTTCATGTTTGTAGGAAAACAGTTTTCGGTTTAATTATGACATATTAATACTTATCATATTTAAACAGTACAAATAACGTTAATCATGTTTAAATATTGCTTACTGTGTCATGATAATTTATAAATTAAAACTCAAGTCGTACTTACGCCGTTTTCGGGCTTTTTTGGGAAAATATTCACTTTCCTTCATGTTCACAGCATTAACGCAAAGCATTTGAACTAGTATTTATTAACAGTAAATTAAAAATTTTGCGAAAACGCATTAATTTTAAGCCAAAACGAATCTCCGAATGCTCCGATATTGCTGCTACCAGACTGAAATTAAAACTGAACACAAAATACTGAAAAACTTGACCTTTGCTCCGATAGCTCACGTGACAGTAACGTCATCGTACATCACGATGAGATTGCAAAACTTATTGTTCAAATTTTGGCCAGGAATTGCACATTTTCGAGGTTAATTTAGCAATATTTAAACAAATTGAATTGTTTTTAACAACTTCATATAAGAAAACGGTTTTCGGTTTAATTGTGACATATTAATGCTTATCACATATTTAAACCGTATAAATAATGTTAATTATTTTTAAATATTATTTATGATGATTTATATTATTTTTATATTTGTCGAATACACTGGTCACGGAGCCAGATAAATTAAAACTCAAATCATACTTACTCCGTTTTCGGGCATTTTTGGAAAAATATTTTTCCTTCGTGTTAACGCAAAACATTTTTGCTAATATTTATTAACAATAAATTAGAAATTCGCGAACATGTGCCACTTTTAGGCTAAAACGGAGTTCGGATGTTGCTGCCACCAGACAGAAATCAAAACTGAAGTGAAGTAAACAAAAGAAGTTCACTCTATGTCGCTTTATTGGGCAGGCTTTATTGATATGTTTACCGCCACCGTCGAATTCCATCGGCAACAAATAATTTAAACCAAACAATTTTCTAATATTGCATGTACTCTTTTCAAATCTGCAGCATTAGTTTATTCTAAATGGAGTTTTTTTACTTCCCGGGCGTAACCTAAGGAAATGTAATAATCGAATCCATCACGCAAGTTGCCAGTTTCATATTTGCTCGATGTTTCATGATCCCTAGAGTACGAAAATAATGATGAACCTTTCCCGTTTGTCTTTCAAGTGTCTTTATTTTAATAATTTTCTTTAATACGGTAATAAATGCAGTTTTTTAATGAAGCGGTAGGTATTTTATTATTTTGTACTAAAAATTATTTTTCCCACATTATCATCATGGTTCTCTGCTTCTCTTTATTTTTATGGGGAAAAATTATGTTTCAAGTCTTAATTATATGCATTACTGTCATCTTTTTGTACCAGTGTGTCTTAATTAGCTGCACTTGTTTACTTGTCTAAGTTCTGAACCATTTTTTATAACTTTAATATGTCTTATTACACTTTTGTTTTCATCATAAATTATACATATCTCTATAATTAATATATTTTTGACGGCTTTTTGCAAACATTGACACCATTCACAAAATTTACATTGCTACAAAACAGAACTGTCCTTCTGCATTTTGTTGTTGCTTGCAACAGTTACATTGCCTTTTACTTTTTCCTCATAGATATGTACTTGGTGGCAATAGATATACTTTAAATAAGACACAATTTAAAAATAAAAATTTCTTTATTTATAATACTAGCTACTGCAACTAACATCAGAACAATCACGCCATGGGTTCCAAGCATATTGATACAATTTAGGATCAGCATTATCAATATCAGTCGTTACTTCCATTTGAGGAATCAAACCTTGCCTATAATCTACCAAAGTGCGTTTGATTCTTCGCACAACACTAGGGAAGAACTTCGCCAGGTCATTTTCTTCACATGGATCGTTTGGAATATTATATAAACAGACAGCACCACCTAAAACCGAACAAATCAATATTGAATAACACATTTAATGTGAGATACATACTCGCAGGATCACACGGATTCCTTTTGGCTTTGGCATCGAGGCATTTTAATGTAGCCACATTTCTCAAACCTTCAAAGTCATTTTCCGAGAGTGGATTATAATTTATTTTCCTGGCAATGCGACCTATCGGGCTGTCGTTAATAGCTGAAGTGTTATACGATTGTGGATCAATGTCTTCATTAAGAGGTGCGCCGAAGTAGCTATTGTAGCTTCCATTGCCACTAGTACCTAAAGAGAAATGTGTCACTGTTGACTATTTTTTTTTTACCTAAATGCACATGATTTGAAAATTGCTGTAGTTATTGGTTTCTCGTTTTCTGTTACTGCCAAGTTTTCAAAAAAAGGAGAAAGTGATTGAGAAAATCCCTGACATTTTAGTTTCTATTCAGAACAATTGGAATACAAAAACTATAGAACTAGAATCAAGACGAAATGAGAATTGAAAAATGATAACTTATTTTATCTGATATCATCAACATATCCCTATCATTAATAAACAAGAACTCTAGTTGGGTAATAAGTCAAATTTCTGATCATAAATCAAACAACTGTAATACAGTTACTTGCTTACCAACAATTAACTTCCAGTAAGAAAATCTCAACGCAGCATTCCTCGTTTTTTCGTCAATATTCAAAGGGATGTCGTTTCTTGCAGACGGTAAATCGTAAACCAAACTAGACCACTGATCTATTCCATCTAAGTCTGGATCTAAAACTCCAAGATCACCTCCAACGGCAGTAAACAGAGTAGGTAACCAGTCCGTGATATGAATAAGATCAGTGGAAACACGTGAAGACTGAACCAGCAAAGGACTCCAAATACATGCCACCGTACGAACTCCGCCCTCAAAAAGGGTATCTTTAATTCCACGAAGAGGATAGTTAGAGCCCCAGTTATGAGATGGTCCTACTGTAGGGGCGCCATTATCGGAAATAAATACTATTATCGTGTTCTGAAGCATATTCTTGGCGTCGAGAGCTTCGAATACTGCACCGATGCTGTCATCGAGTTTTGAGACCACAGCTACGAATAATTGCAATAATACACCAGTAACACATAATAGATACAAGTTGTTTTTTTTACTCCTAACTAATATGTCCATACATATACAAAGAACTTATACTTCAAAATAACGTCATTTTTGAAAATACTAATAAATAATAAACTATGAGTGGGACTACAATAAATGTTCAAAGTTTTCTCCGTTTATAATTTGGCATTGATGTAATCGGTCAGCAAAATGTCTGAATGAATTTATATGATTTTACAATATTGGGTGTTTCTTTGTGATTTTTTTTTATTTTTTGCATCAGTTGTCTGCCAAACTGAGAGCGATAAAAAAAAGAAAATGTTGTAATCAAGTCGCCATGTTTAACTATATATCCAAAGGTAATTTCAGAAAAAAAGAAACATTTCAAATAACAAAGTTATTCGACCGTTCCGGAGCTTTATACCAACCCTGTATATTTAAGACGTAACTAACGCGCTGTTTTAGTAACTGTAATTACTTCAAATTTTTAACTGTACTTGAGTTAATGAATTTTACTCAAATCCACGGCTACGCGTTTTTTCATTTTAGACCCTCGAAGTATATTTGCCAAAAGATAAAAAACAAAAACCAAATATCACCAATAAAAAACTCTTGTTTCGTGTTTGCACCGAAAAAAGTAAATAATACACTTCAGCGTACTCATGTTAAATACATCATTAATAATGTTCGAAACTTTACCTGCGTATGTTCGTCGGTTTGGGTCGCGTATATGTTTAAATTTGTTAACAGTCTCTTGAGGTGCCTCCAACCACTTTCCTTCATTTCCAATGTGAACAGCCAAGTGAGCAATCATCATAAAAAGGGGAGTGTTTACATTGTGTTTCTGAATAACATCAACAGCTTCCTCCGTAAACAGATCAGTGGCATACTTTCCAGCATCGTTCCAGGACGGCACGGTATCTCTTCGCAAGTCGAAGCCGCTATAATCTTTGCCATTAAACTAAAATTTTATAATTAGAATTATTTTTAGCTACAAATACAATGCAGTCGAACCTTCCAGCTTGTGACATAGTCGTAATAACTACTAAAACTGTTGTATAAGCCCAAGAAGTGGTCGAATCCTCTAAGCGTTGGAGTGTCGTTCCATCTAGAGTATCCCAAGTTCCATTTGCCTATTAGATGAGTGGCGTATCCCATTTCCTGGGGGAAAAATCGAAGTTTATGGGGCTCGGCTTATGAAATGAACAAGGATATTTAGATACAAGGCGAAAGCGGGTAGGTATACATGTATACGTAGTAATGTTTGTCATGTACCTACCTACTAAGGAAAAAAAATATAGCAAAATACTTATTGCTGTAAAAATAAATAAAAAGCAATGAGTAAAAAATAAACATTTAAGATTACATTCAGATGAAAGTTTTCACAAGATCTGTCGATTTAAACCTCCTGTTGACTTATTATACCGTTCACTGCATGTCACTGGCAGGTTGGTTCCATTGTTCGGCTGGGCACTTGGGAATTTACCAGAAGTTAATTGTACGTTTTTTTTTTATTTTTAAAGAGCTTTAAACCATTTAAAATATAAAATAAACTTTGAATACAATCAGTGTTTTTTATTACAGTACTCTGTTATCGAAAATGTAAATCTTACGCTCTGTTCCTTCCACGATATTTTACGTGAGTGCAAGCCTTTTAATGTCCCTGTCTTTCACAGTTCGTTGATGCTGCTGCTTGAAGTAATAAAGACAAAATTTCCGGTTGACCGATGTAGCCTTTTCAACATTTGTAATGGAGTGACTGCCTATAACGTGAGACGTTAATTTTTATATGTCGACAATAAAGGTTCTTCGTCAGGCTTCAGGCAAAAAAGCAACTGCTTTTATCGTTAGTTTTCCTTTCTACGACGCTGCCGTCTTGGTTAGGATCAGTCACAACATCAGAATCCAAACGGTACAAAAAAACATGTATATACAGATACAATATCTATCTATATTGTATATGTATATCTAGCAACAGCAAAACAATCAGTTACCTCTACATGCAATTTTCCCCCATCCTCGAGAGAACGCACAAGGAGTTAGTGGATGGAACCAGGGAAGTAAAAGACAAGTGAAAAATATCACTCAAAGAACAGTAGTTCCGAAAGAAACTTGCACGACTGGAGAACACAAAGCAGTCATAAATTTATTCAGTATAAACAGCTCAAAGATTGTACTAAAAGATGTCATATTGAAAATAGCGAAGAAATTAGAACTATCTGGCTGTCGATCACGTATATAATAATGCAAAAAAATTACCAGACGGAAAACTGAAACTTTTATCAAGCTCAAAGCCAACAGGAACGTCATCATTCTACTAGCTGACAAAAGCAATAAACACGTCCTTTATAGAGTTATTTTTTATTATTCATTATTAAAAATGCAAGAATTTTTACGTAATCTGTGGGCACTCGTGTACTACGAGTACATTAAAAAAAACGAATAACAAAAATTAAACTCATAAAAATAGTGCAAAATCCCTATATGGGTCGTAAGGTGCCGCAGTAAACCCATACATGAAAATTGTAAAGTGATGAACAGGGTACCTACATAAAAAATTATTCACGTATTTTTACGGGGATGGTCGTACAAAGCTTTGGTACTGCATGTCCAAACCGTCCTATTCACATTAAGACCTTGATTTAGAAATTTGTAACCACAAGCTGCTTCAACCATAGACACAACAGGATTAATCAGTATCCAGAAATAGAATCTGTCTGATAACGTAAAAAACGCACATAAAACAAATTGTAACCCCAAAAATTAATGGTCCAATAAGCAAAATTGCAGAATTTGGGTAGAGAGTAGTGTGTTACGTAATGACAGATCTTTTAAGAAAAAAGATAATTTAACGAGAGACAAAGGAAGTTTTGTAATCGAGTCCATTGGACGACTGGGTACTTTTATATTTTTTCGATGTGTCATGGCCCCTAGAGTACGAAAAAATAGGGCAGAAATGGCTCTTGCGTTTCTTTAACATTGGTCAAATGAAGCATGCTCCCTACTGTGGTCCTACCTTCACGATATCGTCAATTTTTATAGTTAACAGTAAGTTTTTTTCTTATAACAGGTTAAACAAGTGAAGCAAAAAATATCCGCAAAATTGCTCTCAACATACTTTAAAATACTCAGATATAAGTTTCCCTTGTGGTAAGGCTCTAGATTCTCCTGGCGTTATAGATGGTCCTTGCATCCCTTCAACAATTTTAACGTACTTAAAAATTCGATTTCCAGCCGTCATACTAACCCAATTTCATAGGATATTTGCCTGTAAAGAGTGCCGCTCTGGAGGGAGTACCGTAGGACTGTCCATAATGACTGTTGAGAATGATGCCGTTGTATGCAAGCGCGTCAATGTTCGGCGTTGGAATTTGATTACTCCCGTGGAAGCCGACGTCATTCCATCCCTGAAAATGTTGTCCAATTAAGAAAATCATTTTTGAACTCAAAGATACACTCATTAAACCGTCTCGTTTTAACCTCATTTGCAATTCAAGTTTTGTATGTAGAAATATAATTGGTCCAACACTGACCTTAATCAGAGCCGGCCGGCAAGCTGTATATCACTACAGTTATTTGATGATGTCTGAAATTTCATGAGAATTAATTTGGCTATATCAGTTCTTGTAATAAAAAAATAATGAGGAGTGGTCGTTCTAAGATCTTTTGATTTTAATTGATTGGAACAAAAAATATAATATTTTGTTGATTAAATTCCATTCCGCATCGAACATCTGCAGAAAAAGTTTCTTTGTTAGGTAACTCGAAAGCAATTTTGAATACTTTATGTACAAACGTTTGAAGTCAATACGAAAGAGTAACTGATAAAATAATAAAACGCTTCATTTCAAATATTTCTATTTAGACTGTGAAATTTAATATAGCTAAAAAGAAACAGCAAGTCAATGTAATATAAAATTTGAAAGCTATTTTAGCTTTTAATAGACTATAGTTTTGTTTTTAAAGTACAATTTCATCACTTTCTCGCGTAAAAAACCTAATTGTCAGCTTTTAACAGAAACATTAAATCCATTTGTCATTATTTTCTCCAGGGATAATTAAATGTCTGCAACATTCTCAATATTTATGAGCAAAGTTCTAAAGTGATTTATGAGATATTAAAATTCATCTGCTAACGCACCTACCAAAGCTTTTGATTTCGTGGAAAAATCGCGAATGACTCTACAACCAATGTCAACAAAACTTTGGCTAATTAATTATTACAATGCATAAATCAAAAATTAGCGTGTCGCGGCAACAGCAAAGCATAATAAAACGGTTTGATTTATTAGTTTGGCTGGGGATTTGGCTTCCCTTCTCAAAAAAATAAATAAACAAATACAGTTATTTGTAACACAAAAGATAAGTCTCCCATTATTGTTTGTCTGAATTTCTTTATTTCCTTGTTCAGAACCGTAGACGAGGTTAAGGTTAATTTCAAGAAGACTTGTAAATGCTTGTTGTATACTTGCACTTCCGTAAAGATGCTATCGCGAAGTTATTGTTTTCAAGTAGGCATTTAGTGAGGAAACGTTAAAACACAAGTTTAATAAATTACGTACAATAATTGTTATTGCCACATCATGTACATGTTTCTCTAAAAGTTCATTGAATTTGTGAATTTAAATGACCGACTATATTCCAAGATGTTGCATGCAATACACAACATATTCTCAGTTAAGATTTAGTGTACCTATATAAAAACGACATGAATAAATTTGCATAAAAATAGTAAGTAAACAAACAAATAAACTAGCTGTTTACTTCTGACAGCACAAATTTTTGTACTTTAGACTCTTAATTATTTATACATATATACAAAGCTAAACTAGTCTTACATAATTTTTTACAGCCGGATACTTTCTTTGCGTCATTCGCCGACCCATTAAACCTTTATTTCAAACCATCAAAGTGGATAATTTTTATTATGAGTAAAGACGTTCTCGATTAATTTTTTAACAAGAAACCGTGAAATAAGTTAAAAAACGTCAAGAATATTTTATGTTGTAAAGTTTGTGGATGATACTAATAAATTAAAAGCTAACGTGTCTAGTCTTATGGAGACATTTAATAAAGCGGCGTGTCAAACGTAATAAAATCTTCATCCTAAAAATTAAAGATAAATGTTGCAAACTATTCTACAGTGTACTGCACACTTGGTGTAGATCATATTTATATTCTTGTTGTAATAATAACATTACATCATCAACTACTTTATTTCTTTTGCTGAATATTCTAATCAGTTCTTTTTACTTCCCGAACGCAAGCTAAGGAAGTATTGTAATCGAGTCCATCGGCCGAGTCCCTACCCTTACGTTTTCTCCACCTTCCACGACCCCCTCTCTTAGACAATACTGACATTACTTATCTATATTTATTTTAATGTATAAAGGATACCACAAATAAAACTTCGAAAAATCATTTTTGTTTTTATTTTTTAAGAAGCGGTATTTGTTGGACTGTATTTCAGGGGCGAGGGAAGTACTGTTGAAATAACGTTCGACCAATTCTTTAGCATAATTATTATTACGAATAATTAGGGCACCAACAACAAAGTAAACAGTAGACGTTGTCGTTATAATTCAAAAGATATTCCACGGAAATCTTTACTAATTTGTTCTCCATCCCTCGTGATTAATACAACCAGCAAATGGGGATACATTTTCAATTGTTGTTTAACTTCTCTCAGTGAAATATTCATTCAGACACCGCTTTTACCGAAATATAAATTTTTAGTAACCACTTACAACGGTATTGTTTTAAGCCGGCTAAATATAGAGATATCATCCGAAAACCTTTTAAGTGAAATATGTTGAAATACCAGGTTTGTGTGTCAGATATCTTAAAATTCCTAATGTACATTACGGTAAAAGTTTCGACAACTTCATGAAATTTATATTTCAATTTACAATCATTTTAATAATGTATGTACGTTCTCATCTCAACCGAACATTCAGAAACTGTACGTAATTTCTTCCAAGTTGATTTGCATATGTTTTTGGTAAATATTTCGGTAAGAAATTAAACAGTTTAAAAATATTGTTTTTATAGTGCTACTAGAAACTTTTGTTAACTGTCGTGACTATCCTTACATTTATATACTTAATATTAAAAGGAAACCCTAAAGAAATGTAAACTAATGTTTTCACTACAAATTCTTAGATCCATAATCGTAGAAACCAAATAGTAATAAACGTTGTTTTTACTTAAAAAATAGGTACATATATACATTCAATATAATGAGGTATGTAAGTGTCTTTACTGTGATAAAACTAGGAAGAATTTGGACGAAACGTTGAAAAAAAAAGTTTTTTCTGTAAATATTATTTACTTAAGTATGACTACATGAATCGTATTTTATTCTAATAGTGTAACCATCTGCAAAAACGTTTTTAATTGTAGGAAAAATAATTAAGCAAAATAAATACTGTTCTGTAAAAATATTTGTCTGTTAATTTAATTGTACGTTAAAAGCAATTTTGTTGTACCTACGTAGACCATTCCATTTATTAGAGTATTGTAAATAATGTTAAAGAGATAAGCCGTTTGTGATATTATTATTATTATTATTATTTTATTAATATTATTATTCGTAATAGTATTCCAACAGGCGAACCCAATTATAGAAATACGGAGTGCTACCAAAAAAAAAAACGTTACTTAACTCAATAACCAACAAATAAATTATCTAACTATAATATTTCTTTATATTTCCTGTAGAATATCCTACTTTCAATCAACCCGGTCTGGTGTTTAATATACTGCAATGTAGATGAAAATATGTCAAATTGATCAGCAACATGAGTGTAATTTTTGATGGATTGGTGTAGAGGTGATGCCAACAATACTTTCGTTCTAGGGACTGTTACCTCAAACAAATTATTACTTCTTAACCTCCCAATCGACGTTCGAAACCTCAAGAGGCTCAGCAATTCAGAACAGTCTATTTGAAATAGTAACATTTTGACTAGCAGTAAAATTGAATCAAGTTTTCTTCTGTACTTAAGACTGGGCAAAATAAATGTTTTCAACATAATCTCCTCCGGAAATCCCTGTTCAGGATATGATATAATCAAATTATTCATTCATCAAGGTGTTTGAGACAGTGATAAACCACACACTCTACAATTTTATTATTATTATTATCATTGGTTTTTTTAGAGGAGAGATATATATCTATTATGCTCCCATAATTTTAAATTTGACCATAGATTTGAGTCTTTCTTAAGATAGATTTTCCCCAATGAATTTGTCCAACTTTGTTTTAAAAGCTTCAACTGTAGGTGCTGTTACTATTTCCTCTGTTAGTCTGCTCCAGTCATTAAAAATTCTGTTTGAAAGAAAATGCTCCCTGCAAGAAATTTTAAATTTGTCTTTAGTCAATTTTAGACTGTGTCCCCGTAATTGTGTATTTTTATTAAAATTAAGTACTTCTTTACTAATGTTTGTATTTTTACTAATAAATTTGAATACCCATATTAAGTCACTACGTCTTCTTCTGAATACAAGTGTTTTTAAATTTAGCCTGTTCATCCTTGTACTATAAGTGATTTTTTTAAAACCTACCACCCTTTTCGTCAGACGCCTCTGAACCTTCTCTATGTTGTCCTTATCACGAATAAGCCAAGAGAACCATCAGTGTTGGGCAGTATCTAGATACTTGTATCTAAATAAAGTATCTAGATACATTTTTGGATATCTAGTATCTGTATCTAGATACAATCGAATTTAAGCACAAAATATCTGTATCTAGATACAAAATTAATTGCGCAGATACAGATACATTTTTTTATTTCACTTTTTTTTCAGTAGTTATTAGTTGAGTTACACTAGTAGTAATTTTTGATACTTAATGTTGGTGATTTTGGTCACATAAACAAAAATAGAGGTAAGAGGTCCACTAATAGTGTTCTGTCACGGAAATTTTCATATTTTAAATACCATCATTTCCTACATCGTAGCCTTCAGTACTGATACATCTTTAAATAATGAGGGTAATAAATCTAATCCATGGTAAGATGATATTTTAAAAACCATAAACCACAATTCACTATTCACTGCGTTTTACGCTTATCGGGGCAATGCATTTTATCTGTGTACCTGAGCAACCCGGGTCCGGTAGGCCAGCTGGTTGTATTTGTCTTATTAAATACGAGTAAGTTTAATAGTAAAAATATTTGTTTAAGGTATGTTATTATTTTTAGAAACTAATAATTGCGTGTTACATAATGATTAATTTTTTCAATTAGCACAAATTAGTTTTGTAATCGACTAATCGAATGTTCAATACATACATTTCTCTGGCAGAAACCGCATATTTGTTACTGTTTCATATTATTATTTTTCAGACAAATGTAGCATCTTTTCCTGTTGCCACATGTGTCATTTCTTCACTTTTTCATTGTTG